TGCATTCCTAGCACCAGCTCTACCACAACCTTTGGGAAATACTAATACCAGCCAGACCCTTCAAGAAGTACCACCACCAAACGGGGAACCAGCAGTTAGCGTAATGGCTATGTCGCTCGACTCCCACGCAGTTGACCACGGTTTGCGTCCCGGGCCCGGTGGCTTAAAACTCACGCCGGGCGCGTGTGCGTGCGTGCCCAAGATCCCGAGAGGAGAATGGAGAAGGGACTGCGGCGTGACCATCCCCCTTGGGGGGTGATTTCTCGCTTTCTGTCTCTCTGTCTCTCTCTGTCTGTCTGGCGAGCGCACGTGCCCTATAGTGAAAACCTCTCCAAAAAAAAAAAAAGGAAAAAAAAACTAAGTACCATCACCAATTACATAGCGCTCTCCACTGGCTCAGAGGTCTAGCCACCTCTTCAGAAGTGAAGAACTAACCTCATGTCTCCTCCCTTGACAGTTCTATTAAACCTCAGAAGCTCTGAGTATCCTCAGAGGGTGAAGAAATCAGTTGTGCCATTCTCTTTGGAGGTTCCTGGTCTCTCTTTCTCTCTCTGTCTGTCTGGCGAGCGCACGTGCCCTATAGTGAAAACCCCTCCAAAAAAAAAAAAAGGAAAAAAAAACTAAGTACCATCACCAATTACATAGCGCTCTCCACTGGCTCAGAGGTCTAGCCACCTCTTCAGAAGTGAAGAACTAACCTCATGTCTCCTCCCTTGACAGTTCTATTAAACCTCAGAAGCTCTGAGTATCCTCAGAGGGTGAAGAAATCAGTTGTGCCATTCTCTTTGGAGGTTCCTGTACCAGCTCCTTAGGCCTTCAATGAGATTTTAGATTCTGGAACAATACTCCTTTCATTTAGTTCCTCCTATCCTAGAAATCGTAGCTGCTTCCTACTACCTGAGTCACTTTCTCCTCTTTCAGCCTCCACACACATTTCAAACCAATTATCCGCAAGAAAAGCCCTCTGAAAAACCATGGTTTCTGGCTGAAACAATCCTCTTCCTCTGACAATTTTTTCCCATTTTACCTCCTATTCCTCTCTGTTCCACATAAAATTCTCCCAACTTAGACCAGCCAGTGACATGGTGGTTAAGGTGGCTGAGATCCCACATAGCCAACTGTATAGTTCAAGTCCCACATGCAGTGACTTGAAAAACACAGAGTATGTGTGTGTGCATGCCTAAAATCCCAAGAAGAATGGAGTAGGTATTGCAGCATGGTCATCCTCCAGGGATGCTTTCTCATTAACCCCTTCTGCTCTCCTTCTCTCCAGCAAGTGCATGGATCCTACAGCAAAATTTAAAGAAAAAAAAGTCTCAGAACTATCTAAAAACAAACAAAACACTGTTCCTCTTAAAGTTACGTGGAAGAGAAAAAAATACATGAGATAAACGGGCCAGCAGGTGCCATGGGGGCTAAGGCACTGACTCTGACATGGTCAACCATGGTTATACTCCCCAGACCCAACAGCTTGAAAATCATGTGGGGGGGACCAGCAGTTAGAGTAATGGCTATGTCCCTGGACTCCCATGTAGTCGACCGCGGTTCGCGTCCCGGACCCGGTGACTTAAAACAAAAACTCACGGGAACCAGCAGTTAGCGTAATGGCTATGTCGCTGGACTCTCACGTAGTCGACCGCAGTTCACGTCCCGGACCCGGTGGCTTAAAACTCACGCCAGGTGCGTGTGCGTGTGTGCCCAAGATCCCGAGAGGAGAATGGAGGAGAAGGGACTGCGGCCTGACCAATTTCTCGCTTTCTGTCTCTCCGTCTCTCTCTGTCTAGCGAGCACACACACCCTATAGTGAAAAACCTCTCAAAAAAAAAAATAAAATAAAATAAAAACTCACACTGGGCGTGTGTGCGTGCGTGCCCAAGATCCCGAGAGGAGAATGGAGGAGAAGGGATTGTGGCGTGGCCATCCCCCCTGGGGGGTGATTTCTCACTTTCTGTCTCTCTGTCTCTGTCTGGCAAGCGCACGTGCCCTCTAGCAAAAAACTTCTTAAAAAACAAAAAAAAACAGAAAAACACAGAAAATCATGCGGGGAATGTGTGTGCGTGCCCAAAGTCCCCAGAGGAGAAGGGAGAAGAAGGAACTGCGGCATAGCCATTCCCCCTGGGGAGTGATTTCTCAATTTCCCTCTTTCTGCATCTCTCTGTCTCTCTCCTCTCAGTGACCACATATGCTCTATGCCAAAAATCTAGAGAAATAAGTTAGATAGGTAGACAGTGCTTTAAAATGAATAAATTAGCTTCTAGGAAGTAACAGAGGGGAAAACTGTGTAGGATTATGGAAACGGACAAAAGAGAATCCTGAACATCATTACAATGGAATGCTGGAGCATCTGGGCATAATCAGATAGCACAAGGAAGTATGCCCTTACTGCATTTATTGTGAACTTAGATCGTTTTTGTTTTTTGTTGTTTTTTGTTTTGTATTGTGAGAGGGCACATGTGCTCACCAGAGTAAGAGAAAGAGGGAGAGCGGAAAAGCATCCTCCAGTGGGGCATGGTCACATCCAATACTTTCTCCTCCAACTCGCCCTCCTGTAGAGAATTTTGGGTGCACACAAGCAGACATGCTTTTCAAGCCACTAAGCCTGGGATGTGAAGTACACAGTCAGGCTTATGGGATCTGGCTCCCTTAGCCAATAGACCATGGAGCCACCCATCTAGTTTACAATTCTCAACAGACAGGATACAAATAGAAAATTGATTAGCAATGCAAATGTTTTCCACCCATATCCATGCAAATATGCAAATAAGCTGTTCATAGCCTGCAAATAAGTGGTCAAGTAAAGAACATTAACTTCTAAATCAAATCCTCACTTTGATTGGTTCTAATGTCTTATCGGTCGTCTATTAGTGAGTTAAAAATTATCTGAGAGATGTTCATTTTATATTTGTATGCATAAGGAATAAATATAAGAATTTTTCTTTGCTTAATAAAGGAGATGAAGCTAGTCCTCCTTTCTCTTTGAGTGTCCTTTAATAACACAGGTTTGGGTCCAGCAGGTGGCATGGTGATTAACATACTGGAATCCCTCAGAGCCGACAGTGGTTCAAGTCACATCAGGCACATGTATGTGCATGCCCAAAATTTCAAGAGAACAGAGGAGAAGGGACTGCAGCACAGCCATACTCCCTGGGGGTGATTTCTCACTTTCCCTCTTTCTGTCTCTTTCTGTCTCTCTTCAGGGAGAGCATGTGCCCTATTGCAAAAAACTATATTAAAAACAAAACAAAACAAAACACAGTAATAGGTTTGATGCTTCAGTCAAAATTCAATAAATCTGGGACCAGTAGATGGCATAATCATTACATTGCTAGATTCCCATGACAGTGGTTTAAGCCCCAGATCCGGTGGCTTAAAACTCACGCAGGGTGCATGTGCGTGCATGCCCAAGATCCCAAGAGAAGAATGGACTGCAGTATGGCCATCCTCCCGGAAAGTGATTTCTCACTCTCTGTCTCTCTCTGTCTCTCCAGTGAGCACACTCACCCTACAGCAAATATCTCTCATTAAAAAAAAAAATTGATAAATCTAATCCAGATTACTATGAGAATAAATGAGCCTTCCCATCCATGGAACTGAAAGTACAACCTAAATTATAATTTCGGAGTCTCGTAGGATATGTACAGAATGAACAACATTTATCTCTTAAGAAGATAAAAGAAGTTTTAATTACTCCTCCTACTTTACTGTAAAATATGATTTAATAGATTTGTCTCTTGACTACATGCATGAATGCAATATGATATGCATACTAAAGAATCAATCACATTTTCAAGGTTTCTCCTGATATGGAGAAGTCCTCTGTTGGCAGAATATTTTTATTACATCAACATGTAATAGCAATGATGACCTTTTTTAAAGATTACTTGTTAAGCTAGCTGGTGGTATGGTAGTTAAGGTGGCTGAATTCCACATGGATGACTATGCAGTTTGAGTCCTGGACCCAGAAGCTTGGAAACATGCCAGGCAGGGGCCAGCAGATGGAGTACTGGTTATGTTGCTGAAGTTCCACATGGCCAATCATGGTTCAAGTCCCACACCAGGAGGCTTGACATGCACACCAGCCACATGTGCATGCATGCCTAAGATACCGGGAGGAAAATGGAGAAGAGACTGTGGGATGGCCATGCACCCTAGGGGGTAATTTTTCACTTTCCCTTTCTCTGTCTCTCTCTTTTCTCTCTCTGGTGAGTGCATGAGTCCTAAGCACCCCCCTCCCCCCAAAAAAAAGAAAAAGAAAAAAGAAAGAAAAACATGCCAGGCACATATGTATATGTGCCCAAATTCTCAAAAGGATGGAGAAAAAGGGATTGTGGTGTGACCATACCCCATTCTGAAGGGTGTACTTTCTCACTTTTCCTTCCACCTCTCTCTCTTACTATCTCTCTCTCTCTCTCTCTCCCTATCTCTCTCCTCTCTCTGGCAGGCAACCTCTAGCAAAAATAATAATAATAATTCTTACCATATATACAGAATACTTATTATAATAAACAGAGTATTTATTTTTGTAGTTTCAGATAAAATACTCCAAAATGTAAAGTGATAGCTTTAGTCAGAATGAGTAAACTAGGCTGAGTTATAGTTTATGATCAGTGGTGAAATAAATAATTCTGAGTTCTATAGCCCCTTTGGTGATAAATGACTTAGTAAAGAAAGAAACTGTAACCATTTAATATAGCCTATATATATGGCAATAGAGCCTAAAATGGATAGCTCTGAACAATGTTATTTCTCAGGAGAATAATAGGGCAAATATATCTTCCAAATGTAAGTTAAATAAGACTATTTTGGGGGAACAGCCAGCCAATCATAAAGAACATCTATGACTTACATTTTAATGTTTCTGTTTTTATGTCCATTAAGACTTTAACAAGGTAGATTTTAATACTGCTCTTTTAAAAACTATTTAACATAGATTTCAATTAATGTAACAAATTAATGCTAACTATGTAAATACCATTTTCAGTACAAAAATAAATTTTTACCATCTTCCCAGCAATTCTCCCCAAGAATATAAGATCTTCTCAGGACAATCCTTAGACACATCACCTGTTCCACTTGAGAGTTCATTATCACTCTCTGCAGAAGAAACACAAAAACAAAAACAACATTTATATTACGTATTACAGTAGATATTTATACACACAACTATGTGTCTAATAAAACAAACAGTACTTCTTATTTTACAACATCCATTGCAAATTAATAGTAATAATTTCATTAATGTAATTTATCTTTATTGTCTAGGTAAATATTTCCTAAGCATAAACTTTTTATGAAAATTTTCATTCACAGTTTAAATAGTATATAATTGAAAATACCTATATCCAAAAAGAGTACCATTTAAAAGCTAATGATAACACAACTAGAAATTTCTATGTGGTATTCTATTCACCAGATTAATAGTCTCATAGTAACATTGGGTTGTTGGAAAAGTCATTACAAGGACCAGCAGTTAGTATAATGGCTATGTCGCTGAACTCCCATGTAGTCAACCAGGGTTCGAGTCCCGGACCCGGTGGCTTAAACACGCCGGGCGTGTGTGCATGCATGCCCAAGATCTGGAGAGGACAATGGAGGAGAAGGGATTATGGCGTGGCCATCCCCCCTGGAGGGGGGGTGATTTCTCGCTTTCTATCTCTCTGTCTCTCTCTGTCTTTCTGGTCAGCACACGTGCCCTGTAGCGAAAACCTCTCAAAAAAAAAAAAAAAAAAGTCATTACATATTTTTTCTATGTTTTCTATGCAAAAGTGTGCTATGACATGACTTTTCCAACAACCCAATATTAGTGAAATCAGTAAATATAAAAATTAAAGATCAAATATAAATACTAAAATATAACCTGAGAAACATATAGCTCACGATATGAACACACAAACAACCAGTAATCTAAAATAAATGTTTTAGGTTTTAAAAATTAATTCATTAAAAATACTTTCGACAAAACAAAAAACTGCTTTGTCTTTATTTATTTATTTATTTATTTATTTACATTAATTCACTGTACATCATGACAACATACAAAATGAGATTTTCCATCCAGAGTACACTGTATATAGGCTCAATCAAGCACATCAGCATACGTGTTAACGTCAACAAATAATTTTCCATTTCTTGTTTCCTCTATGTTTTGCTTTTTTCCCCTCATCCTTGATTCCCTATCTCTCACCCTCTGCCATCTCCCACTCTCCTCCCACACTTTCTCTGGTATCTATGTTTGCTTTCTATACTGTTTTTGCCCACATTTTTTTGAGTTACTACCCTAAGCATCGTCACAGCATACAAAATGTGATTTCTCATGCAGAATATACTGCACAGTGGTTTAATCATGCATATTATTATCACAAATCTTCATTTCTAGTATCTAGAAATATTTTTTTAACCCTATTTCTGACCCTCTGTCCTTTCCCACCTTCTTCTCACACTATCTCTGGAGTCTAAAATTGTCTTCCATTCCTTTCCTACCTACATTGTATTGATAACACAATTTCTTAAATAATCTAACTACTTTCAATAGCAAATTCTTTTAAATGGCAACTTTATAAAACATCCCAAAACAAAAAGTAATAGTTTTAGAAAGAAGAAGATAGACTGGTTTTACACTTTACAATCAGTGGTAAAAATAACTAATTCTAAATTCTAAAAACCTTTTAAGCAGTAATAGAGGTAGAAGATGAAACAAAAATGTAATAGACACATTTTACCTACTTTTAAAAAGCCTACTGACACATTACTATCTAAGAAAAAGCTAGAGAAGTATTGTCTGAATAAAATGAGTATGCTAAAAATCCATCTGCCAGATGACAAGTTCCAAGGTTTTATCAACACTGTTATAGTACAATAAGGATTGGCATTTAGCGGGTTCTGCAGGGATCTGCGTTAAGAACAGTACTACTTAGCATACTGCAAAATTCTATGATCTAAGTTTAAACTAATTCATATCTGGGGATATATACATCATCGAAAAGCATTTATGTAATAAATAAATGTTTATTTGGCCCAGTTCAAATATTTAGTCATAGTCACATGAAAAGATTTGATCACTTATTTAGTAAAATATAACCAAGTCACATGCATGAGTACAAATGCTTCCTCATCTTTAGAACAATACTGGATAAACAAGAATTATCAAGACCATTTTATTCAAAAAGTGAACACTATTCTAGAAATTGGAATGAAAACAAAAAGAGGACACGCTAGCATGACTGTTCTGGAAATAACTCACATAAAGCAACTCTATGAAACTTACAAGTTCATCATGAAAATACTAACAATAAGATTTTTTTAAAAAAGCTAAAGCAGGCCCAGCTACCGTGACTTGGTCTCGCACTAAGTTGGAGCCTAAGGAAAGGCCCAGAGTTCAGATGTCAGATCCACCTGAACATACCAGGCACACTGGAACTTCAGAAAAGTGAGACCGTGAGACCGTGTAAGGGCTATCTGTTTCTCTCTCTCTCTGTTTCTCTTTCTCTCTCTCCTCGTTGTGAAAAAAAAAAGTTAATCAATTAAAAGAAAATAAAAGCTAAAGCAAATAAAACATTACTAAGTATTAGAGGAATAACAGGAAACAGAAACAACTAAAGCTTTAATATAATATCCTCTTTGTTTGTTTTTGAGAGGTTTTTTTTTTGCTATAGGGCGCGTGCGCTCGCCAGACAGAGACAGACAGAGAGACAGAAAGCGAGAAATCCTCCCCCAGGGGAGATGGCACGCCACAATCCCTTCTCCTCCATTCTCCTCTCAGGATCTTGGGCACGCACACACACGCACCCGGCGTGAGTTTAAGCCACCAGGTCCGGGACTCGAACCTCGGTCGACTACATGGGAGTCTAGCGACATAGCGATTACGCTAACTGCTGGTCCCCCTTTCTTTCTCCCTGGTGGTCCCGCTTTTGTTTCTTTTTTTTTTTTTTTTTTTTTTTTTATGAGATCTTTGCTATAGGGCATGTGTGCTTGCTGGAGAGACAGAGAGAGAAGGATAGAAAATGAAAAATCACCCCAGGGGAATGGCAACACTGCAATCCCCTCTCCTCCATTCTCCTCTTGGGATCTTGGGCATGCACGCACATGCCTGGCATTAGTTTTAAGCTGCAGGTCCAGAACTTGAACCACAGTTGACAACGTGGGAGTCCAGCAATGTAACCATTACACACACTGCTGGTCCCAGTATTATATCCTAAAGAACTATCTTATATATGTCTCTTGTAATCCTTACAATTTTTGATCTATCAATAAACTGAGGCACTTTTAAAAGCAAAAGGTGACTATTAAAAATTACACTGTGGGGGCCAGCATGTGGTGTGGTGGTTAAGGATATGGACTACCACATGGCTGACCGTGGTTCAAGTACTAGACCTGATGGCGTAAATATCACTATAGGCACATGTGCATCTGTACTCAGGATATTGTAAGAAGAGACTGAAGTATGGCTGAACATCCTGGAAGTTGATTTCTCACTTCCCCTCTCTTTGTCTGTCTCTGGGGAACACACATGCCCTATGGCAAAAACCTAAATACATACATACACACACATACACGCACGCACATACACATAAACTCTGGGGGGCCAGTGTGTGGCATAGTGGTTAAAGTGACTGGACCCCACATGGCTGACTACAGGGTTCAAAGCCCAAATCCAGGAGCATACATACCTTATAGCAAAAACCTTAAAAAATTAAGAAATAAATAAAGAATAATCCAACAGATAACTGGGCCAAAAAATAGTACTTGCCACAATGTATAAAATACAACTAGCCAATAAAGATGTTAATGAAAGAAGACTCACTTCATTAAAAATTTGTATGGACATGTCTGTTGTTTTTTTTGGGGGAAAGATTTTTGCTGTAAGGCATATACACTCACTGGAGAGACAGAAAGAGAGAGAGACAGAAATCATCTCCTAGGAAGGATAGCCACACCACAATTCCTTCTCCTCCATTCTCCTCTAGGGATTTTGGGTATGCATGCATGTACACATACCCAGTTTGAGTTTCAAGCCACTGGGTCTGGGACTCAAACCGCGATCAACCATGTGGGAGGTCTAGCACCTCAACTACCGTGCCACCAACTGGCCCCTATTTATTTATTTTATTTGCCACAGGTGCATGTGCTTGCCAGAGAGAGAGAAAGAGAGATGGAAAGACAGAGCGTGGGAGAGGGAAAGACCACCTCCAATGGGTTTGGTCATATACAGTTCCTTCTCTTTCACTTCTATATACTCTTGGGATTTAGGGCATGCATGCCCATGTGCTTGGTGTGTTTTGCAAGCTACTGGATCTGGGATTTAAACCCCATAGTGGGCCATGTATGATCTGGCTCCCTTAACCACTAGGTTATGTGACCTGACACACACACACACACACACACACACACACACATATATATATATATATATATAATTTTTTTTTTTTTTTTTTGAGAGAGAGGGGGTTAAAAAAAAAATGTGAGCGCGCCAGAAAGAAACAGAAAGACAGAGAGACAGAAAGCGAGAAATCACCCCCCAGGCGGACGGCCACGCTGCAATCCCTTCTCCTCCATTCTCCTCTTAGGATCTTGGGCACGCACACACGTGAGTTTAAGCCACCAGGTCCAGGACTCAAACCACGGTTGGTTACATGGGAGTTCAGAGACATAGCCATTATGCCAACTGCTGGTCCCATGTAACCTGATTTTTAAATACAAAATAAAGCAATGAACATACAGGAGTCCCCACAGTCCATAGTTTCATTTTCTACAGTTTCAGTCACCTACAGTCAACCACAGTCCAAAAATATTAAGTGGAAAATTTCAGAAAAAAAAACAATTCTTAACTATTAAATTATGAGTAGCACAATGAAATCTCACATCCTACTCTGTCCAATCCAAGACATCCCTTTCTCCAGAGTCTCCACACTGCATGCACTACCCACCCATTAGACTCTGAGGAGCTGTCCAAGTTATCTAATCAACTGTTACAGTATCATAGTGCTTGGTTCACGTAACCTCTACTTAATAATGGCCTAAAGTACAAGAACAGTGATGCTGACAATTCAGAGATGCCAATGAGTAGATGTAAAGTGTTCCCTTAAGTAAAATGGCTG